CACTCGGCGGTCCCGTTCTGTGAGCTTGTGTGGCCTACCACTTCGCGGCTGAGCCGTTGTTGCTCATAGACGTTTTCACTTCACAATAACAGCACTTACAGTGGCAACTCTAACAGGGCAGAAATTTGACGAACTGACTTGTTGGAAAGGTGGCATCCTATGATGGTGCCCCGTTGAAAGTCACTGAACTCTTCAGTAAGGCCATTTTACTGCCAATGTTTGTCTATGGAGATTGCATGGCTGTGTGCTCGATTGTATACACCTGTCAGCAATGGGGTGTGGCTTAAATAGCCGAATCCAATAATTCGAAGGGGTGTCCACATACTTTTGTATATAAATTGTACATCACACTCAATGAACAAAAATGAACACTGAACAAAAATATAAACGAGTGTTGATCCCATGTTTCATGAGCTGAAATAAAGATCCCATAAATTTACCATACGCACATGAAGGTTTTTCTCTCAAATTTTGTGAACAAATTTGTTTACATCCCTGTTAATGAGCATTTCTCCTTTGCCAAGATAATCCAACCACTTGACAGGTGTGGCATATCAAGAAGCTGATTAAACAGCATGATCATTACACAGGTGCACCTTGTGCTGGGGACAATAGTCCCGTGTAGCTCAATTGGTAGAGCATGGCGCTTGCAACGCCAGGGTTGTGGGTTCGATTCCCACGGGGGGCCAGTATGAAAATGTATGCACTCACTAACTGTAAGTCGCTCTGGATAAGAGTGTCTGCTAAATGACTAAAATGTAAATGTAATAAAAGGCCACTCTAAAATGTGAAGTTTTGTCACACAACACAATGCCACAGATGTCTCAAGTTTTGAGGGAGCGTGCAATTGGCATGCTGACTGCAGGAATGTCCACCAGAGATGTTGCCAGAGAATTTAATGTTCATTTCTCTACCACAAGCCGGTGGGGTTATGGTATGGGCAGGCATAAGCTACGTACAACAATAGCAATTTGAATGCACAGAGATACCTTGACGAGATCCTGAGGCCCATTGTCGTGCCATATATCCAGCAACTTCGCACCGCCAGTGGGATAACATTCCACAGGCCACTATCAACAGCCTGATCAACTCTATGCGAAGGAGATGTGTCAACAGCATGAGGCAAATGGTGGTCACACAAGACACTGACTGGTTTTCTGATCCATGCCCCTACCTTTTTTTAAGGTATCTGTGACCAACAGATGCATATCTGTATTCCCAGTCACGTGAAATCCATAGATTAGGGCCTAATTTATTTATTTCAATTGACTGATTTCCTTATGTGAACTGTAATTTAGTAAAATCTTTGAAATTGTTGCATGTTGCATTCATATTTTTGTCCAATATACTAGTTCCACTGGTGGCTTTTTGAATCAAAGATGGATAAAGACAGAACAGCAAACATTTTACAGACGCTCTTATCCAGAGCGACTTACAGTTAGTGAGCAATGTATTTTTTTGTTTTTTTTTTGACATTATTTTTATACTGGCCGGCCATTCCCTCCCCTACCCTGGGCCAATTGTGCGCCGCCCCATGGGTCTCCCGGTCGCGGCCGGCTACGACAGAGCCTGGATTCGAACCAGGATTTCTAGTGGCACAGCTAGCACTGTGATAATATCAAACCATATATCTCTTATCCTCAAATGAACTAATTTCTGTGCTGCCGTTTTAATTATGTTTTAATTCAATCTCCTGGGGATTAATGCCATAATGATCTAATAATCCCAATGCTGTATGAAGTCACTTCACTCTCTTTCTTGGCTTCTCGCTCCCTCTTTTTCCCTCTCTCCCCGCATGGCCATTGGCAGCAGACAATACCTGTCAATAAAACATCTGCATCCATTCTCTCGCTCTTCATATCTCCACCCCACCCCTCTCTTTCTCATCACAACATTTTGCAGAGGAGAGTAGGGGGGAGGAGGAGAGGAGGGGTAGAAGAAGGTGAGAGAACTCCACTCACTCACAGTACTCTCTCTTGAGCTGCTACTTGGTGAGATAAAACCATTCTGGCATTCTACAGACTGATAAAGTGCTATTCTCATTAGAATATAGTAGAATCGTCAATAAAGGACTGTACAATATGTTCTGTCTGCACTCCTTGAAGTGACTTCACTAGTCAATGCAGTGAGAGAAGAGTGACAGACAGAGGCAGTGTTGTACACAACATCCACAAGGGAAAGGTTTATTATTTAAACTGGTCAAACACCGTAAGGTAGGCCCAGACAGAGATGGCATTGCAACAAGCCAGGAAGAAAATAAACAAACCATTATAGGAACTTTGTTGATTTTAGGACTTACATCATCCTCACCCCAACCACAAACATATTAGCCTTATTTTCATTTAAGAAACTATGATAGTTCATACATTTTATCAGGAAATGCAAAAATATACAGATATGATGACCCCTCTTGATTTTGGCCCACTCACTATGTGCACATGGTATAAAGGCATTGAGACTGATCTGATGCGGCCTAGTCGCTTGTTAGACCACAAACTAATAGCCTAATGACTGATAGAAACAGGTGGAAGTGGGGAGACACAGATAGCAAAATAAATAGGACAATAAAATAGTAATATTCAATATTTCATAGCGACAAATTATGCTTTTACTCCTGAGGAAATATACATTAACTGGTAGATTCGGTAGTAGGCCTAGCCCCAAACCCAAAGCCCAACACTTAAGACAATAGCATTAGTGAATTTGGTCATTTGGAGGTGGTTTAAAGACGACATGACTGTAAATGCACAGGTGACTTAAACACTGTCAAGTGAGAACACAATAATTACTAGCTACATATTTTCCTAATGGATAAAAACATTGTTGCAAATATATACTGTATAGTGGAAAACCAACCGGCCTGTTGATGCAACAATAAACTTCAACAAGTCATATTAATATTCCAATAATGCAACAATTTGTTTTACAATAGTTACCGATAAAGCTGCCCTCGATCAGTACATTAAATTTAAATTAGGTTTTATAATTACCTGCAATGTTAAAATACTGAAAAGCTAGCTCAAGGTGTCCCTCTTACCAGTGCAACGTGGCTTTGATAAAACCATAAAGGTATTGTTTGGGAATTAGCTTGATGTATCATAGAATTCAAATGAAAAAACAAGACATATATGTTGAAAGTGCAATTTAGTATGATATAGTCCATGATGTGTTAAACCTCTGATATGAGCACAATCATTAGCTGATCCTGGAAATGTTACTTTAATAACATGATTCTAATACTCTGTATGTATCTCTACCAGAGAATATAATACTCTAGAGAGTAATATAAAGTAATACTACAATAGAAGGTATAATACTCTGTACCAGAGAACATAGGATAAGAACACAAAGCTACAGTGTTCATGATTCAACTTAGTTCAAAACAACCCTTAAAGTGTCATAGAAACATAACTTCACACCACAAATCACTTTCTGGCTACTTAAGTCCAGGATGCAAAGTGCAGACTGTTTTTGTGTAACTCAAGTCTCTAACCTCTGACCCCACCTGTCCATGACCCCTGACCTCTAACCCTTGACCTTCTCATGCCAAACCAAGGGGGGCACAAATTCAAACTGGACATAAGCTAGAGTCCACACAAAACAAGTCCATGCCAACAAAATAATACATCATTTGACTCACGTACAATACGAATGGTAGGCATTCAATGCAAAATAGCAAGTTATTAACATTTTAAAATAGAGAGTACAAAAATACTTATAGGGATATAGGGGCTATAATATTGGAATTCACTGCAGCTTGCTGTGGAATGTTTAATACTCTCGTCATCATCAGTATTCCTAACGATGGGCTTATCAGAACTAGGCGTGGGGGCAACTAGCGTAAATCGACAGTACGCTTTCGGATTCATAACTGTTTACTACTTACTGTATACTATGCAGATATTGAAGGCTGGTCTTCAGATGATGTTCTTAGTCCGAGAAAAGTGGGAAAAGTTACTGTTTTAGTGTATGAAGAACATCACTGTCATTCTGAATGATACTCCGGTTGAGTTTTCATTGTAACAGATCCACAAAAGAACCAAATAGAATCAAGCAGCTTAGCATGATGGTAATGACACATAATTAATTACCGCAGAAAACCAACTTTAAACCATGACAGTACATTCACTGTTAGTGGGGAAATGCCTATAAACCCATGCTGAGAAACATAGAGAAACATAAGGCTTGTATCGTGTGTCCACACGTCTAATATGTAAGGTGTCAATGTATAATGAATACCCATCAATTGAAATAGCAACTTCGAGCCATTGTTAGTCATCAACACAGATTCAAGTGCAAAGGTAAAGCAGTGCTTTAATTCATCGTCGCTGTCGGATGAAAACATCGTAACGCAATTTTTGGAAATTTTCATGTTTTACATGTGTTGAAAGCAGTAACTTCCTTTCATGACTCTAGGACAAAGAAAATGTATTCAAAATACTTCTGAAGTTTCATAATTGTATTTTCGTTAATTGGAGAAAAATAAAATATTCTTTAAAGTTTCTGTTTTGGAGATTATGTTTTTATCCGACAGCGATGTCATGTTGCATTGATTATAGGTCATAACAGTTGGAGCCTTGGCTTGGTTCTGAGTTAACAGTTCAGACAGTTGGCCAGCAACCTGAGTCTCTAGTACATTCTACTGAGAGAGCAAGGGTTGTCTAGTCTGTGAGCTACACACGTGCACGAGCTCAGAGCGAAACATGCTAGAGTCAGTTCAGTTCAGCATGCCTGTCCAAAGTAATTTGAAGGATAGAGAGAAAGAGAAAGGGATAAAAGAAAGATAGAGACCCACACAACCAAACACAGAGACAAACAGACAGGGAAAGGGGCATCAGTATCAGTTTGGACACAGGGATGAGGGATATGTACTGTATGCAACGCGCCAAAACGATATTCCTCCATCCAACTGTCATAAAATAGCCTTTGTCCAATCGTTCAAAAGCTTGTTACTGAGCATCGTCCAATCCTGGAGCGCCTTGCCGAACAATTGTCCAATCCTAGAGCTTGCTGCTGAGGATCTCTGACACCTGTGTGTTCGTTTGGTCATCTGAGTCCAGATCCTGGGCTGTCGCTCCTTCATACCCCTGCTCTCCTGACCCCTCCTCTGCCACAATCACCGTCACCCCTGCCCCTCTCTCCATCCCTCCCTTCCCCTCCATCCCTCTCTCCCCCTCTCCACAGCCCCTGTTCTCAGGCGACGTTTCCTTACACGGTTCCACAAAGATTGTCCTGATATGGGGCCTGGGCTCCCTCTGTCCCCCCCTCCGGCCTTCCAGGACACAGGAAGCATGAATAGCATATGTCTCCGCTTGTGGGGATGGGAGATCCAGGGGCAGGGTGGGCAGGTCTGGGTCCCTCTGCCTGGTATAGACCCCCTCAGACAGGGACCCTGTGTGGCTGTCGCTGTGGCCCCTGAGCCACCGCTGGGGCCCGCTGAAGTAACCCTGCTGGGCCCCAGTGGCCCCATGGCTCCGGGACAGCAGCTTCCGCTTGGTTGGGGGGTTGGCTAGGGGCCGCAACGGAGTGAAGGAGTGCTTGTCCTGGGTCGTCTTGGAAAGGGAGAGACCCTCCAGTGTTTTGGTGCAGGATAGGGTGGTCTCGGGGAGGATGGGCACAGGGGAGAGGGGTGGGGCAGGGGAGAGGATTGGACCGGGGGAGAGAGGGGAGAGAGCGAGGTCTTTGGGCTGGCAGATGCTGTACCTGGAAAATAAAAAATTGGATTTGTTAGGTTCTATTCAAGGCTTTGTCAAAAAGAGAAGGGGAGAGCAGGAGAGGAGGAGAGGAGGAGAGGGGGAGAGGAGGAGAGCAGGAGAGGAGGAGAGGATGAGAGGGGGAGAGGAGGAGAGGAGGAGAGGAGATAGTAGAGGAAAGGAGAGAGAGGACAAATCTTTGGAGAATGAGGTGGTAGGGAAAGGTGGGGCTGGGGGAGAGTGAAAGGAAGAGGTTTTTGGGGACACAAGTGGACTGGACAGGACAAGAGTGGCAGCTCTATCTCTACCTGAGCTTGTGTATCTGCAGTATGTCAAGGTCAAGGTTAGGGTCAAGGTTAGAGGTCGTTCTCGTACCTGAGCTTGTGTATTTGCAGTACGTCAGGGTCAAGGTTAGGGTCAAGGTTAGAGACAATGTTCCCAGAAGAAATATTAGCCCGCACAGAGAAGCACAAGATTGAATTTCACTCAACTTTCTAGAGTTTTCCCCTTTAGTTAACACTATCAACGTTTCGCTCTACTGTGGGAATTGTGCTCGAATCAATGCAATATTAGCCACTTTCAATGTAACATACCCAAACAAAATGAACTACGTAAGAGTATGCAAAACTAACTGTGCAAGAGATTTTCTTGTAGGCAGATTGCATTGGAGTAGGATTCTATTGCATTGACAGGCACGACTCAGGCCAGTGTGCCATAACCAATCAGAGCTGCAGTAGGCCTATATGCAAATAGCCATTGCCAAATATGTATCTGTGCCATTCACTTTGAACTGGGCTGTGTTTAGGCTACAGTATGAGTGGTCACGAGTAGATGCGCTTGTTTTGAGATCAAAGCGAGAACTGCATGTAGCCACGTGTGCACATTTGTTCATATTCTTTGGTAGTTAGTGAGCTATTAGCTCAGTTATAGCTAATTTCTAGTCAACAATGGGGGAGTGGTTGCTTCCTACAAGAGCACAAAATGTGTGCATTGTAGACATCTTTGAAAAGCAAGTCAGGTAAATAACTTTTTTTATGTCTTAAAGGGGCAGTGTTGTATTTTGAGACGGTCTTGAATAAGCTAAGTAGCCAATAGGGTGAGGGTAGCATAATTTGTCTGATTCTCTGTAATAATGGTATGGGAATAATAATTGCTTTTATTTTGTAAAATGACTTCTTGCATCAAACAACAACATTTTCAGTCACCACCTTGTCTGAAGGACAAGTGGATAAACAGGTTAATGTCAAGTCCTGCATGTTTAAAAAAGAAAGTCTAATGGAATGTAGTCCTACATTGAACACCACACATTGGCTGCTGCTGTAGGCTGAATGATAGAACAGGTATTTCCATATTAAAATGTTATGGGATGCATTTTTCTCCATTGTTTTTGATGGTAGGCCACTCTACTCTGGTAGGCCTACATTATGATCAAATAGCCACAGTAGCCTACTTGGCCACTGTTAAAACTGTAACTTAAAGCGGGTACAGCCTCAGTATTTTATTTTTTATAGATGCCATTTAGCAGACGCTTTTATCCAAAGCGACTTACAGTCATGCGTGCATACATTTTTTTTATTTTTTTTTGTGTATGGGTGGTCCCGGGGATCGAACCCACTACCTTGGCGTTACAAGCGCCGTGCTCTACCAGCTGAGCTACAGAGGACCACAGTAAACGTGCGCCGGAAGATGCACAGAACTTTCACAACATTCATGTTTACGCTCAGCAGACCTGAAATTTGCTCAGTGTAAAACATTTTTGTTGAGGGAACATTGGTTAGATGTTGTACTCGTACCTGAGCTCGTGTATCTGTAGTACGTCGGGAGCGCTGCCTCCCAGGGCGTGCACGGCCTGCTGGGATAGGTCCTGTGGGGGGGAGTAGAGCAGGTCCAGCTCGCGTGGGGACAAGGCCTCGCTGGAGTCGTAGTCACTGTCTGTCGGCAGGAACACCTCTGAACAACCGTCCTCATCTGACCCCAGCTGGGAGTCTGAGGGAGGAGACAGAAAGACAGACGGGTAAGAAACACACCTACAGACCATGTACAAAATAACGTTGCACACAGACATAGTACAAACTATGATTATAGAGTGGGGGTATGTGTTTAGCTTAAGATGAAGGCCATCCTTCACGTACTTCCAGAAGTGCTAACACACCCCTACACCCCCATCCACAAGACGAGCATCGTCATCATCGTCTTCGATGGACAGCCAAGACGTTGTGTGTGTGCGTCTTTCTCTGTGTGCATTCTCCTCACCACTAACATCCTTCCTGCGTCGTAGCTCAGGTGATGGTGATGGTGTGGGTAGGTAGTCCATGGTAGAGGATGCTGAGTCACTCTTCTGTGCCCCCTGGTCTGACTCAGGCTCGCTGGCATTGACCAGGCTGGTGATGGGCACACCGCCACGGGGCTGCTTGTAGCGGGCACACTGCAGGGCATCAGTGATCCAACGCAGCTCCCGCCACATCTCATCCAGTTGCTGCAATCGAGAACGAAACGCACTCATTATAACACACAGTTATAAAGCATCATAGTTATAGTTAGTTATAGTTGATTATAACAGTTATAAAGCATCATAGTTATAGTTAGTTATAGTTGATTATAACAGTTATAAAGCATCATAGTTATAGTTAGTTATAGTTGATTACAATAGTTATAAAGAATCATAGTTATAGTTGATTATAACAGTTATAAAGCATCATAGTTATAGTTAGTTATAGTTGATTACAATAGTTATAAAGCATCATAGTTGTAGTTAGTTATAGTTAGTTATCGTTGATTATAACAGTTATAAAGCATCATAGTTATAGTTAGTTATAGTTGATTACAATAGTTATAAAGCATCATAGTTATAGTTGATTATAATAGTTATAAAGCATCATAGTTATAGTTGATTATAATAGTTATAAAGCATCATAGTTATAGTTGATTATAATAGTTATAAAGCATCATAGTTATAGTTAGTTATAGTTGATTATAACAGTTATAAAGTATCATAGTTATAGTTAGTTGATTATAATAGTTATAAAGCATCTCATCCAGTTGCTGAAATGGAGAACAAAACTCAGGTCCAGATAGCCAGGAGAATAATGTGACACTAGTGGACCACTGAAGACTAACGCCGAGAGGTACATTGTACAGCAGCTTAAGGTTAGTAGCAGGGATCTATTTCTATGTCACTCCGAGAGGGACAAAACTATTCACACATTAAGCCTACAGCTTCAGTGAATACATTATTTCCACGCAGATTAACATTGTTGTGTAGGTGTGTGTGTGTCTATGTCTGTTTATAGGTGTATAGGTGAATGTGTGTTTGTGCAAGCGTGCGTGTACTCTTTTATATTCCCACACAGTTCAAAGGGTTTGTAGCGAATAGAACTATGCATAATGCATACGATTCCTCACCACAGAGTCCTGCATTAAATTGGCACCTGATCATATCACAGCAGCCTTGAGAAGCAGTAGAGAATATATAGTGTGTCCCAAACGGCACCCTATTTCCTACACAGTGCTATGGGCTCTGGTCAAAAGTGTGCACTATATAGGGAATAGGGTGCCATTTGGGATGAAGCTATAGAATAGAAAGCACATTGTGACCATAATAATGACTGGCTGCACACCAAAGCCCTTCTCCTGCCAGTCTCCCCATGCATGCAGTCTCCAATGTGGTTCCAATCTTATCAGGGGCCCTAGGCCACCGTAACCCAACATCATTCCTCCTTTCTTTCACTCCTCCTATTCCCCCTCTCATTCTTTCCATCACTCCAAACCTCCCCAGGGACTCAGGGTGTGTGTGTGTGTGAGAGCGAGAGAAAGAGAGCATCGGTCTATGAGTGAGAGCATCGGTCTGTGTTTCCGTGTGTGTGTGTTTCCGTGTGTGTGTGTGTGTGTGTGTGTGTAGAGAATGAAGCATGACAAATGTTAAGCAGCAATTAGGCGTCTGTCTGAGAGACAATATGAGAGCACTTAGTGACACCACAAGATGACACACACACACACACATACACACACATCTATATAAAAGAGACTGACACCCGGGGATGACTCGGCTGGAAAGAATGCCGTGGATCAGATGGCAGAGAGAGAGAGAGAGAGAGAGAGAGATGGGGGAGAGAGGGAGAGAGAGAGGGGGGGAGAGAGGGAGAGAGAGAAAATAAGAAAGAGAGAGAGAGAGAGACAGAGCGAGAGACAGAGAGAGAGAGAGAGACAGAGACAGAGCGAGAGAGAGAGATAGAGAGAGAGAGAGACTGACAAACTGGGAATAATAGAGGATATTCCTCTCTTTCTCCATATAACCGAATTCCATCACTCTTTTACAGCCAAAGGCAATAATATTACTGTATATCTCAAAGACAGGATATGAAATATGAGGGTCTTATACTGTATATGAGAGGTGGGCTATATTTCAGATAAGAGGGTCTTAGAGGTACATTTTTAATACAGTGCTATGAAAAAGTATATGCCCCCTTTCAAATTTTCTCTACTTTTGCATTTTTGTGATACTGAATGTTATCAGATCTTCAACCAAAACCTAATATTAGATAAAGGGAACATAAGTGAACAAATAACACAACAATTACATATTTATTTCATAAACAAAGTTATGCAACACCCAATTCCCCTGTGTGAAAAAGTAATTGCCCCCTTACACTCAATAACTGGTTGTGCCACCTTTAGCTGCAATGACTCCAACCAAATGCTTCCTGTAGTTGTTGATCAGTCTCTCACGTCGCTGTGGAGGAATTTTGGCCCACTCTTCCATGCAGAACTGCTTTAACTCAGTGACGTGTGGGTTTTCAAGCATGAACTGCTCGTCTCAAGTCCTGCCACAACATCTAAATTTGGATTAGGTCTGGACTTTGACTAGGCCATTCCAAAACTTCCAATTTGTTGCTTTTTAGCAATTTTCATGTAGACTTGATTGTGTGTTTTGGATCATTGTCTTGCTGCATGACCCAGCTGCGCTTCAGCTTCAGCTCACAGACGGATGGTCTGACATTCTCCTGTAGAATTCTCTGATACAGAGCAGAATTCATGGTTCCTTCCATTAAGGCAAGACGTCCAGGTCCTGTGGCAGCAAAGCATCCCCAAACCATCACACCACCACCACCATGCTTGACCTTTGGTATGATGTTCTTACTGTGGAATGCAGAGTTTGGTATTCGCCAGGCATTACTGGAACCATGTCGTCCAAAAAGTTATACTTTTGAATCATCTGTCCATAGAACGTTCTTCCAAGAGTCTTGATGATCATCCAGGTGCTTTTTGGCAAACTTGAGTCAACTTTTTAGACGAGATGGGTCCCATTATGCCTGGCGAAAACCAAACACTGCATTCCACAGTAAGAACATCATACCAAAGGTCAAGCATGGTGGTGGTGGTGTGATGGTTTGGGGATGCTTTGCTGCCTCAGGACCTGGACGACTTGCCTTATTAGAAGGAACCATGAATTCTGCTCTGTATCCGAGAATTCTACAGGAGAATGTCAGACCATCCGTCTGTGAGCTGAAGCTGAAGCGCAGCTGGGTCATGCAGCAAGACAATGATCCAAAACACACAATCAAGTCTACATGAAAATTGCTAAAAAGCAACAAATTGGAAGTTTTGGAATGACCTAGTCAAAGTCCAGACCTAATCCCAATTGAGATGTTGTGGCAGGACTTGAAACGAGCAGTTCATGCTTGAAAACCCACACGTCACTGAGTTAAAGCAGTTCTGCATGGAAGAGTGGGCCAAAATTCCTCCACAGCGACGTGAGAGACTGATCAACAACTACAGGAAGCATTTGGTTGGAGTCATTGCAGCTAAAGGTGGCACACCCAGTTATTGAGTGTAAGGGGGCAATTACTTTTTCACACAGGGGAATTGGGTGTTGCATAACTTTGTTTATGAAATAAATGAAATAAATATGTAATTGTTGTGTTATTTGTTCACTTATGTTCCCTTTATCTACTATTAGGTTTTCATATGGCCTCCCGAGTGGCGCAGTGGTCTAAGGCACTGCATCGCAGTGCTAGCTGTGCCACTAGAGATCCTGGTTCGAATCCAGGCTCTGTCGTAGCCGGCCGCGACCGGGAGACCCATGGGGCGGCGCACAATTGGCCCAGCGTCGTCCAGGGTAGGGGAGGGAATGGCCGGCAGGGATGTAGCTCAGTTGATAGAGCATGGCGTTTGCAACGCCAGGGTTGTGGGTTCCTTTCCCACGGGGGGTATAAAAAATTAATTAATAAATAATAATAATGTATGCACTCACTAACTGTAAGTCGCTCTGGATAAGAGCGTCTGCTAAATGACTAAAATGTAAAATGGTTGAAGATCTGATAACATTCAGTATCACAAATATGCAAAAGTAGAGGAAATTAGAAAGGGGGCAAATACTTTCTCATAGCACTGTATAATATTTGAGAGGTATATTGTATATATATATAAGAGTATACTGTATATCCGAGAGGTAAACAGTTCTGCATGGAGAGGGATCAGTGAAAGGGATGCACTGTAAATAGGTATGATAATAATGCATGCTAATCCAGTCATAGACTTTTCTCAAAGCCAAGCAGAATGCACTGGATGCATGTCATCTGCCATTTAACTTTCCTAAGCACCCTGACGAAGGCTTTCATCTAAAATGCTTTGGGCTTTTAATCATTAAAAAGCTTTTTACTGAACTTTCATTGTCCTCCTTTCAAGGTATTTCCCTTCATTCCACTTACTTAAATAGTTGATTGGCAATGATTTCTGCAGATTGAGGAAATTCAACCTCAACGGATTGTGTCTAGCCCTAATCAGGAGAGGAAACTTCCAGAAAGGTAGCATCCCCCAGACTCCCAGCATTCATCAGCACAGCAGCATCATCTCTCTTAAGCACTCGACAGCTGATCCAAGTGTCATCCAAGACCTGTGTGTGTGTGTGTGTGTGTGTGTGTGTATATGTGTGTGAGTGTGAGAGAGAGAGAGAGAGAGAGAGAGAGAGAGAGAGAGAGAGAGAGAGTGAGTAAGATTAGTCTGTGTGTGTGCTCTTGATGCAGCATCAGTTCCTGACAGCGAGCGCTCGCAAGACGCCTGCAAGGAGCCAGAAGTCGTCTCAGAAATGAGAGTCTTACTCAAGGTGACTGGGACACACACACACACACTACACCCCCGCCCCTCTCCAGGTAGGCTCCAGCCAGCCAGCAGAGAGAGCAGTGGCCCCAGTGAGTCCAACCCCAGTGAGTCCAAGTGAAGGTGACAGGTAAGGAGCTCCAGACAAAAGGACTTCCTACTGGAACAGGAAATTGCCCATTCTGACCAGACATCTTTAGATTCCATTAGCCCGCACTGGAGCTAAGGGCCCGCACTGGAGCTAAGGACTGGAGCCAGAGAGGAAGTATTCAGCGTGACACGCAGATGAGAACCAGAGGGAGGGATCGTATTGGGAGTGACACGTGATTGCCCATACGTTCACACAGATGCCCACTCCACTCTCCTTTGATCCAGGGCAGGGGCCCCACTGCTGGGGTCTCTCCCCCA